CACATAGCATGTCTATGGCTACATCTTGCACCAAAAAAATCACGCACCCACTGTTGTCTGGGGTCGCAGTGGTGCAAAAACGTGGTTACAAAGCATGGATCCACATGGATCCTCAGGATTTTTGCATTGGGCTACTCCAAACTCACTGTCAGATCACATGTCTGTGGCCACAGCATGAACCACAAAAATCATACATCCACTGTTTCGTTTAGAATATTTTTTTTCTTGTTTTCCTCCTCTAAAAACTACATGCATGTTATGGTCTGGTGTGTGTTATAGAGCGAAAAATACGGTACATTTTGTATTTCAGCATAGCAGATTTTGCCAAAGATCACTCGAATGAACCAAATTAGTTCATTTTGTAAAGGGACAAACATGAACTGAAATTAATTCCTTTTTGGACATCTTAAACTTGTTCCTTTTTAAAATTAACTTCCCGTGCTCTGACATGCACACAAGCGCAATCACAATCCAGAACTGGTCTAGGCAACCTTTGACCAGACCTGTTTGAGACTCTACCAATTTAGGAAGTTTAAAAACAACAACAGGGAGTATTGCAACCTTCGTTATGTTCACCCCAGGCATCTGCTTAATGAAGGGTACAACTGAAAGTTATATTCTGCAAAACTGAAGGGGGGGGGGGGATAATGGATGTTAATGGATAAGCAAATATTCAAAGCCTCCATTCTGAGCAACCGCAGTTTAGAGTCCTCTCTCTCTCTCTCATCATACAGTCTCCTAATCCTCCCTTCTGTCTCTTACAATGAAAAGCTACAGGCAAGCCACAAATTGGAAGACTAATTAAGAACTTGAAGGAAGAATCACTGTGTGTGCCTAAATCTCGGAACTGGAGAAAAGTATAAGCAATTTAATAAACTATCTGGACTGATTAAAGCGCTCAGCACTGTATTCCATAGTTGTTCTGCTTCCTGGCATTCAAGCAGGACTGGAAATAGATGCAAAGGAGCAGCTTTTGACTGGAAGAATTGAGCTAGAAGACTGTGCTCACAAATCCGGTCTGGCAAGTGAGAAATGGAAGGTATTTTTGCTGAGGGCTGCTGTGCCAGAGTCACAATGCAAAGGAAGCAAATTTGATGTTAATGAAGCGGTTATTTCAGTAGAGAGACCCTCAAGTCTTCTTTGTGAATGGTGTGCTACTTTTCGAGTTTTTGTGGATTATTGTCCCAGTCCAGGGAAGTTTAAGGGTTTGACACACAGTGACCGGACCCATGTCACCCAGGGAGCTTCAGGGATGAGATTTGAACCCTGCTCTCACAGGTCCTAGGTAGGCAAACTAAGGCCCGGGGGCCGGATCTGGCTCAATATCCTTCTAAATCCAGCCTGCAGATGATCCGGGAATCAGCGTGTTTTTACATGAGTAGAATGTGTGCTTTTATTTAAAATGCATCTCTGGGTTATTCATGGGGCATAGGAATTCGTTCATTTCCCCCCAAAAAATATAGTCCAGCCCCCCACAAGGTCTGAGGTACAGTGGACCGGCCCCCTGCTGAAAATGTTTGCTGACCTCCCTCCAACACACTAACCAATACACTATGTAGGGGAGACAATGTGAACCACCTGGCTCAATTGCATGAATGCAAAAATCCAGTTTTGAAAAATGTAAGTAGTGGCCACGGTGGGGGCGGGTGTAGATGGGGAGTCAGAATTTAACCCTTTCCAACTGTGTTATGGTCCTGAAGAAAATGGCCCACCAGTTGCTGCTATTGTCTATGCTGACTGGCAGCACCTACCTGGAGATGCCACGGACTGAACCTAGGACCTTCTGCATGCAAAGAAATGCTGTTATCACTGAGCTGCAACCCTTCCCCAAACAACAGAATATATATATAAAATGCAAAGTAGATACCCATGGTAGAGACTCATACATCCAGCTAGGACAGCCCATCAGAAAACAGTAGTTTCCGGAAAGTATAGATAATGAGCATCTGTCATAACTCGACAGGTGTGCTGTTCCACAGAACAGGGGCAGCCACATTGAAATGGATACATTGATAGAGTGTATATTTTCTTCTGTTCCCAGGATGAGTCAAACAACCCATCTCAGTGTCTCCAAATTCTCTTGCTGTCTAATTTAGTAGTCTGTAGCAGGAATGGGGTGACTGTGGTTTCTCTAGATGTTGCTTGGCTGGGACTGATGGGAGCTGGAGTCCCAAAAGATTTGGAGGAAGGAACAGAGCTTCCCCCATCCTGGTCATTTTTTGCAGACTGAAAACACAAGATTCTCGAATGACTGACATATATGATTATTTATTACAGTACCATAAATGAAGGCAACGTGCGGTTTTTATTTCACCAACAGGTATCTCTGGGCATCAGCTGATAAGTCTCACTAAGATCAAATAGTGGCTTTTTCTAGCACCCCATGGAAATCAATATGTCATGTGTCTGGTTTCTTGACTTTATACTCTTGTCCTGTTATTCACCCTCTCGGATACCTTTCCTCCAGCTAACCCTTGACTCAAGGCATGCTAAAATCAACAAATGTGCTTGATGACACCCAAGGAAGATCACACAAAACAAGGCTGCCCTTGTGGTTTTCTACTAGTTATATTTTATTGTTATATTTGTTCACTATTCCAGCAGAAGAGGATTTCAGAAAACCTGTTTTGGTTTATGTCATTTTACTACCGATGTCCCATGCATGTGGAAAGGAGATTACTTGCATAAAGCGAAGCTAATGTAGAAAGATTTATTATTTATTATTATTATTTGAATATTTACCGGGAGGGAATTGAAAATATGGTCCAGGGCATTGTAACCCCATGGATGCTTTTTTTTTTTAAAGTCATTTTTATTTGATTTTACAAATAAAAGTTTATAATAATCCAAATACATATCTATATATAGATAGAGATTACCCCCTCCATGGGTCCTATTGTCAACATTTACAACTGCATATTATTCCATAGTCTATATTTTGCATCCAACCACATTACCCATAGTATTTGTTACAATACAAGTGAGATTAAAATCCTGCTAATGTTTTCATCTGCTTGCGGAGGTCTCTTAAATAGATTATGAATTTTCTCCATTCTTTTTTTAAAGTTTTTGTCCTCTTGGTTCCTGAGCTTTTGGGTCAGCTTTGCCATTTTGGCATAGTCCACCACTGAGGGGGGTGACAAAATGCCAGACGGCACTCACTGCGGGGCCTGCAGCTTCCCTGAGCCACATATCTTTCCTGGGAGAGCCACAGTGGCTTATGCGTGCAGGCTCTGCACTGCCCCAAACAGTCCGCCCTCTGCCTCCCCCTCAGCTGTAGGGCGGCTGAATGGGAGGAGGCAGGCAGACTCCTTGGAGGCCCCACAGAGCGTCCTGCCCCGGCTGGCCCCGCCCCATGAGTGGCTGGCCCCGCCCCTGGGCGCAAGGCATGCGTGCCACCCCAGGCGCCCAATTGGCTTGCTCTGCCGCTGGGTAGGGACTCTTTCTTCTTTCCAGTAACCCCATGAAGGCTAACAGAATCTCAAGGTGCATACAGTGGTACTGTGGGTTACAGACGCTTCAGGTTACAGACTCCACAAACCCAGAAATAGTACCTCGGGTTAAGAACTTTGCTTCAGGATGAGAACAGTAATGGCGCAGCAGCAGCGTGGCGGCAGCAGGAGGCCCCATTAGCTAAAGTGGTACCTCAGGTTAAGAACAGTTTCAGGTTAAGAACGGACCTCTGGAACGAATTAAGTTCTTAATCCAAGGTACCACTGTACTTTGATGAGGGCATGAAACAGCAATTTACTTGGTATTTCATAAGCAGTTTCAAAAGAAGTCAACTTTCTTCACATCCCTAGCCAGGGGTAAGCGCTATTGAGTTCAATAGTGCTTATTACTAGAAAACCACACACAGGGTGATTGCAGTTATGCTGGTCCTAATAAATTGTGTATTTTGCAATGGCCTGTTGCGCTTTGCTCGCTCACTCTCTGCCTGTCTGCATGAGTGTGATATACGAAGCACGATTGTGATGAGAGCTCCTGCAGTTCAAAATCTATCACTGGATCTAGCCAGCCTTGTGTTGCAATCAGTCTGCTGCCTGGAAGGCAAAATTCCTTTCAAATGCTTCCTGAGCCACAGCACGCCAGTCTCAGTTCTGTAGACCGAAATGTATCGATTTATGCAGAGGAAACCATTTTTCCTTCACAGGACATATATGGGCTTGCTCTCCATCACTTTATCTAGTTTGGCTTCAAGTTCCTGATTGTGTGAATCATCGGAAGGTGCTTTAGAGCAGGGCAAACTGTTTATCCAGTAAGCTCAGCATGGTCTGCTCTGTTAGCGGTTCTTTAGACCTGCAAGCAGTGGTGGCTGGTGTCCATTGGGATGGGGAATAATAAATAATAAATTTTTATTTATACCCCGCCCTTCCCGGTTCAGAAAACCAGGATCAGGGTGGCTAACAACAAATTTAAAACACTTAATTGATGAAACAAAAAACAGCATAAAATACAGTATAAAACATGAATAACGATAAATTCAGAACTCAAAAATCAGTTTATGGGGAAAATCCATCCAATAAACATTAGATGAGCACCAGGACTAGCTGGCTAAATTAGTCCTATTTGGGCCAGCGAGGAGACCAGGGGAGAATTAGCTGTGGGATCCCAGAGCGGGTAATCTTCCTAAAAAGGGGAGGGGAAGGGAAGGAAGGGGAATAAAGGATCAGGCTAAGTTCAAATTGAAAGCCAGGCAGAATAGCTCTGTCTTCTAGGCCGTGTGGAAGGAAGTTAAATCCTGCAGGGCCCTGGTCTCATGGGACAGAGCATTCCATCGGGTTGGAGCCATCACTGAGAAGGCTCTGGCCTTAGTGGAGGATAATCTGACTTCCTTAGGACCCGGGACCTCTAAACTCTTATTATACATGGACCTTAAGGTCCTCTGTGGGGCATACCAGGAGAGGTGGTCCCGTAAATACGAGGGCCCTAAGTAGAAGGCAAGGAGACTAACAGCGTGTGAAGCCACAGCCAATGACGGGCAATGGTTGTCTGTAACAGCTGGGATAGCACAGTTGGCAGAGCATGACACTCTCAATCTCAGGGTTGTGAGTTTGAGCCCCTCATTGGGCTAAAAGATTCCTGCATTGCCGGGGGTTGAACTAGGTGACCCTTGACTTAAAATTTACAGCATGCTGTGAGCTGAAGAACTATATGAAAATGATGTATCGGTGGTATTTAACACCTATAAAATTAGCAAAGATGTATAAAACTGCTTTAAATGTATGTTGGAAATGTAAGGAGAAGGAAGGCACGTTATACCAGATGTGCTGGACATGCAAGATAATAAAAGCATTCTGGGAGATGATATATAATGAGTTGAAAAAAATGTTTAAAATAACATTTGTGAAAAAACTGGAGGCTTCTTTTATTAGGAATTTTAAGTGCAGAGATACCAAAGGAGCAGAACGACTATTTATGTATGTGATGACAGCAGCACGGATACTACTGGCCCAGAGATGGAAAGAAGATAAAGTCCTGACCAGAGATGAATGGCTGATGAAGGCGATGGACTATGGTGAAATGGCAAAAATGACTGGGAAAATCAGAAACTAGGAAGAGAGGAACTTTACGAAGGAATGGGAAAAATTCACAATGTACTTAAAGAACGCTGTAAACAACTAAAAACTTTGGCAGGATTTGAGTAACGCTTGTAATGTACTAGAAACCAAGGTAAAAATGGATTATTTAGGAAAAATAGAGAAAATATGTGAAGCAGTGGAAAAAGATTGAAAATGGTAACCACAGAAGGGTAGAGGGGAGTCTAAGGATTCAGGGAATTCTAAATGAGGATGAGGATGTTTAACGTTTGAATTTAAATGTGCAATATAAAACATAAAAATGGGCATGAATTTTCAGATTTTTTTAAAATTGCAAACAGAGGTGGAAATGGTGCAAACTGAACTAAAAGGACTCAGCTATACAGCTGTAAATATAACATTTTAAGTGTGTTCTAAGTGCATTATACAAATGGGACACTAGATGGTGCTGATGAGCTAATGGCAAATTCCATATATATTTTAAAACGGGTATTTTTTTAAAAAAAGCATTTTCACAGCATTTTTAATATCTGTGTAGATTCAGCCCAAAATTCATAGAGTTATCCTAAAGATTCAATGAGGCTGAAAAAAATGGCTGCATCCAGTGCTCACCCTATGCAAAGTAGACACCTTGAAACCAATGGACGTATTCACTTAGATTCATCAATTCCAGCATGTCTACACTGAGTAGAATGTAATCAGTGGCACCGCGGGGCTTGTCAGCACCTTGGCGTAATTCTGTGCTGCAAAATTCCCCATTCCTGCCTTACCTGACTCTCTCACTAATCACCCAGCTCCTTTCTCCTGTATACAGAAGTCCCTTTGAACCAGACAAGCATTTCATCTTGAGAAGGGGTGTTGGTGGAATGCGTGATGCCCTGCTACCTTCCTTGCACTTGTGATTAGGCACTTGAGTTCTCTGTCTTCTGTCGCGGGACTTTTATTCCCAGGTCTGCGGTTTGATGATGAAGTTTTTCCTCTTTGCATAATTCAGAGGATCAGTCACTTTTGGTTTGGCTTTTGATGTTCCCCTGCAGGCTGAGCAGGGCTTCCGATAACCCTTTTAATGCGCATGTACACACATGCGCTCCCATGGGTCATGTCGCTATGATGCAGCCTCAAAATCCAAGAAAAGGCAGTGGTTTGGTGTAGGCAATAATCAAGTATGCTTCCTCCAAGGAACTCAGGGTGGTATATCCTTGTCTCCCTTTTTTGTCTTCACAACTATCCTGAGAGATGTTAGTTTAGTGTTTCCAAACTGTCTTTGGACTACAATTCCCATCATCCATGACCACTGGACCTGCTAGCTAGGGATGATGGGAGTTGTAGTCCAAAAACTGCTGGGGACCCAAGTTCGGGAAACACTGGTTTAGCGAAAAGGTGAGTGAGGAACAAACTGATATGTGTTTATAAAATTATGGCAGGCTCTCCAGGTGTCCCTATTTTCCAGGGACATCCCTGATTTAGAAAAGCCATTCCGGTTTCTGATTTGATCCCAGAATGTCCCACTTTTCTTTAAAATGTCCCTACTTTCATTGGAGAAATGTCGGAGGGTATGGAGTTATCCAACCCCCAAGCCGTCCGAAGGCATAGGGAGGTTTTTAAAAAAATGTTTAATGTTTTATTATGTTTTTTATATATGTTGGAAGCTGGCCAGAGTGGTTGGGCAAGCTAGTAAAATGTGTGGGGCATAAATAGTAAAATTGCCATTATGTAATGGGACGTCCCTATTTTCATGGGAGAAATGTCGGAGGGGATGTTATGAATGGCATGGAGAAAGGTTTTGTCCCTTTCTCATAACTCTATAATTTTTGGGCAGCAAAAGAAGCTGAATATGGAAATATTTGTGAAAGCTTGGAGGAAGGGGGCAGCCTCATTTTGCCTGTTAGAGTCAGCCCTGTCAAATCAGCCCTAATGCTGTGGCTATAGGTGTCCCCCAGTAATCCCATTCTCTCTATGCAACAAATAAAGATGTGATCCACCAGGATCCACTAAAGGAGCAGTGGTTCAAATCTGAGCAAATAAAAGTGATTCACAGCAAACAGAAACCTAACGCCCTCAGCTTAGCTGAGACCTCTAAGATTCTTAGCTCAGTGGCAGCCACCAGCTCAATTTGAAACCAAAATGCTGCTGCTAAACTGTTGTTTTGGTTCTTGCAGAGAAGACATTCTGGCTTTGCAGAAGTTGATTTGACCTTCCTTGTGGTGTAACTTAATTTCTCAGGGATTCTGTCTTTCTGGTGTATCAGAGCGGTGAATCTCAGGGGAGCAGAAGCGTCGGTCTGTGGCAACCAAACCAACAAAGAATATTGGGGCACCTTAAAGAACCGCGTTATCAGAACCACCATGGTTAACTGCACAGGGTTACTCTCACCTGGTGAATTGAACATACAGAGAAGTGCAGGATGCAAATACTGGGGCCATTTATCTGAACTTTGACGTTTAATTTGTTTATCACATATATTTGTATACCACAATTTCATAACATCAAAGCAGACTACAGCCGTGATAAGACAATGGAAAACACATAAAGATGAAAATAGATCACCAGCTGATTATAGAAATGTCACAGACTCACTGCCACCCCTTAATTTCATGGCCTTATGGCCTAACATTTTTCAACTTTTAATCTGTCCCTCTACTTTTTGCAGGGTGTCAATCTTGCAGTTCCATTGACAGGTGCAAAAGACCCCTCTGCCTGTACATGCCTGTTCAACCACTCTCATATTTTCCCATTCCTGCAAACCCAGTGACAAGAAGTCTATAATGAAACGGCTGTTCCGTTTGCTTGTTAGGGCAGAGGATTAGGGTTGTTATAACGGGCTAATGGTCTTAGCGCTGGCATTATCTGCCCTTTCCTCTATAAGCCATTTAAACTGGCCTACCTGGATTTAAGCCAATTTATTTTTCACAGGCAAGTCAACAGCACCACACTCGACTGCAAGCAAGTACTTAGGCTTAATAGGTTTTTGGAACAAGCTGTATGGAAAGATAGGAGAAGAAAGCTCCCTAGATTCTGTCAGGAATCAATCAATAGCTTTTAACGGCTCGTTGTCATTTTCTAAGTGGAAGTTGTTAAGTTTTTGTTGTTGGAAAATCTGTTGGGGGAAATTGGAGTTTGATTCAGAGTTGTTATAGGCAAGCTAAGGAACAGAGCTTTTATACTATCGGTGCACCACTGGCACACATAAGAGGTTGGGAAAGCATTGTCTGTTGATCAAAAGTTTGGCTCTCTTGCGTCACAAGAACCCTATTGCACCAGGCCAATAGCCCATGTAGTCCAGCATCCTTTTCTCACAATGACTGATCAGATACCCATGGGAAGCCCGCAAGGAAGTCCTAAATGCAACAACACTCCACCTGCCTCAGATTGCCAGCAACTGGCATTCAGAGACATATTGCCTCTGATAGCGGAGGTAGGACATAGCCATTGTGGCTCGTGGCCATTGATACGCAGTATTATCTGATGAATAGCAAAGAAAGACTTTGTAAAAGGGGTTCCGACTGGAGAAAATTCTGGTGCATATCCTATGCTGGAACAGTGTGCAGGAAACCTGTGGTATGAAAGAGTGTCTTCCTAAGAGCTGTTCGACAGTGGAACTGTCTCCCTTGGGAGGTTGCGGACTCTCCTTCCTTGGAGGTCTTTAACCCGTTGAAGGGTTTGTAAGTAAAGCATTTTAAACTTACTAAAGGTGTGGTCTCTTTCTCTGCTAAGGGAAGTGGGTAGCTTTGGAAGAAACTTAGAAGGGGTATTTTAAAGGTCTAACAGCCTATATTTCCATGCTTTACTTTGCTGCATGTTTTGTCATTCTAAATCTCTGCTGGGGCTCTCTCACTGACATGTAAGGTAAAGGGACCCCTGACCATTAGGTCCAGTCGTGACTGACTCTGGGGTTGCGGCACTCATCTCGCTTTATTGGCCAAGGGAGCCAGCGTACAGCTTCCGGGTCATGTGGCCAACATGACTGGCAAACCAGAGCAGCGCATGGAAACGCCGTTTACCTTCCCGCTGGAGCAGTACCTATTTATCTACTTGCACGTTGACATGCTTTCGAACTGCTAGGTTGGCAGGAGCATGGACTGAGCATCGGGAGCTCACTCCATTGTGAGGATTCAAACCGCCGACCTTCTGATCGGCAAGTTCTAGGCTCTGTGTTTTAACCCACAGCGCCACCCGCGTCCCCACTGACATGTTACCCCCCCCAAAAAAAACAGGGGTGCCAGCTCCTGGGGGCAGAGGTACTTTCCCCCTCCCCAAGTTTTTAAGCATTGTTCCCTCAACATCATTTGGGGCTCAAGTCACAGCAAGACAAGATGTGAGACCACACCTTGGTTGGCACATACATAACATTCCTGGATATGCCAACGTTTGCTGCCCAGATCTCAGGTGTCCTTCTGTATCCCTCAAAGCTGTTTCATCGCTTGGCTGATGCATTCTGTCAAATATTTTGCAATTGAGTTTAGCACTGCAGGTGCTGTATGCTTAATCTCTGTGCGTTTCATGAAGGTTAGCATTCCGTTGACTGTGAAAGAA